GTATAATTATTAAAATTTAATTGACGTTAATAATTTATTAAATATATTGGTAGGGTAAGCCAACGGAAGGAAACAACCTTATGTAAATTGAAAAAGAGATGATGATTATTCTAAAAGACAAACGGTTGAACGAAGTAATCGGGATTATCCAAAAAGTATTATCGCACTTAAAATGGCATAGTTTTTTAATTTATGAACATGCATATGATGTTATAAAGAAATCATAAACATGATTGGGAAATTGGGAAATCCCCCATAACCATTCAAAGCATTGACTGTGAAAACTCCATACGAATTTGCTGTTAAACTGTTGAACTTTCATTTGCATTGTTATATTTTCTTCTAATTTCTAATATTTTCTGAGCTACCGGTTCAGCCAGATATCCCCGATCATATCACGAATAATTATTATTATCTCGTATTCTGGATCTTGTGATATATGACATTGAATGTCTATTATGCTCCTATCCTATGAGTCCTTATTAACTGAACAAATCAGCATTCAATAGATTTTGATTATATTTATATAACTTTTATAAATATATCATTAGACGAACCTTTGAAATGTTCTGGAATTATTTTTTTTTTCTTTAAAATTAGCGAAATATGTACGTAGTAATAATTGTTGAGTGTTGCTTGGAATAATATTTTTATTATAAATACGTGATACAGATATAATTTTCGTAATAAAATGTTTGATTTGACACAATTTGATCACGAGCAGATGTCAAATAAACATATTCCGAAACTGTGCGTAAGAATGAAAAATAGATTAAAAATATAATTCGTTAATACGTAATTTAATTTCTTGCTGCATATTTAATCGATGGTAACATATTAATTTTCAAAAATGTTTCCTTACACTTGAATACGCTATTGATTTTTATTTAATATCTGTTTCGTTATATTTACGTATTTAGTCGTTTATTTATTAGTTCATAATATTATCTTATTACATATATATATATATATATATATATATATACATATTTTCTATAAAATTAAACATGTTCATCTATAATTCATAAATACCTACAATACTATTGGAGATTGAAAAAAGTTTTAGTCTAATATAAATTCTTATGTTTAATCTTGGCTAATGAAAAATATTGAAGTTATTTTTAGGCTTAATTTACGATATCTTTCTTGCCTATCTGATATTATAAATCGTCATATATCTATTTCAATTAAAAAGTATCGTAATCATAAATGTAAAAAGAGAAAATTAAGTTTTCGTAATATTTTAAATTTAATAAGATATATTCATATGCATACTTAATAGAATTAAAGGACCGATTATTTATATTTACATGTAGGAAAGCATACGTTTGCTTTAATATTTTATGTATTATATCTCACAGTATGTTTTAATAATTGCATTCGCAAATATATTATGATAAAAATAATTATAAAAACTTGTCTAATATCATCACTAACACAAACATTCAATTATTTGCCATGTACCAAGACTGGGAAAACAACAGAAAACAACAGTCTTATAGACTGTTTTTACTTAATCATCGGTCAAGGTCCACCGATCAAGCGAAAATTCTCGCTATCACACGCTCGCTATCTCTTTCCTTTATTGTACACTGCCGGTATCTCTCATTCCCAATCCGTATGCGTGTAATTGTCTAACTGTTTCTTCTTCGTCTTTTTATTTATCCATCCAAATTCGTTTCACTATCCATTCCTCATTCCTCACTATCCTCCACAACCGCACAATTAACCAATCTGCCTTCTCTCTCTCTCTCTCTCTCTCTCTCTCTCTCTCTCTCTCTCTCGCACTTCTCATAATATCGTACAAAAATTCTATTTAACTGTATATCTGCATACAATCGTCTTGTAAATTTTGCGTGCTAAATTCGTTATTTATTTTAATATATTCTTCAAATCAGATTTACTTTATGCTGATTATACCAAAGAGATTAATGAAATATATACATATATTTAATGGTATTCAACTACTATTTAAGAATTTAAATGAAAGAAATAAAAATTGAGAAAATGCAAGGTGTCTTGAACAAAAAAAAAAAGAAAAAAGAAAAAAGGTCTAATAAGATATAATAAAGAGCAAGTTGTTTTCCTTTTGTCCCAATTTATCTTCAATAAAGTTTCTAATTCGGTAAAAGAGTTTGGATTTATAATAATAGTAGGCAAATTTGCATTAATAATGGGCAATTATTTTGTCGCGAAGAATCGTTATTATAAGAGAGAAAACTCTGTAAATACGCAATAAGGAATATTTGTCTAAATAAATCATAATTTGCTGTTGGTTGATAAAATTCGGTGCGACTTGAGAAAGAGTTGTTTGGAACTTGAAATGCTTAATCTTGTGAGTCATTTAATATTACACCTGCGAGAGTATTAGTATTGGCCGAGGGCCTTGCGTTATGAATTATAAAGTTGTGTATTCAGAGAGCAGTTAGCATTGGCGAGGGGACGAACGGACAAAGTGCAGACTTTTCATGGCTGGAAGAGAAGCATCGAGATGAGGAAAGAGTCGGAGTTTCCGCGTGTGAAAGTAGTGCTCGTAACTATATGAAAATAATTGAGCACTTCGCACCTACTCCTTCTCGGAAGCCGTATCACGCGTTCCGTTCGAGTCACGCGGCACGATCAACTCCTCCTCCGCCTCATCCTCCTCATCCTCCTCCCTCGCCCTCTTCTGCTCGCTCATTCACTATTGTGATTGCGATATCTGCGTCGTGCAAATGATGAAACATACTCTTGCGAAAGAAATCTTCTGTTTTCCATTTTATATATTTTTTATTCTTCTTTTTATTTTCTTGCTCTTTTCAAGAATGATGCTTTTGAATATATTTATTTCCTGCCTTTAAGCCAGTCGATAAGATAGCCAAGTGCAAACGATCATTTTGTAATTGACGATATTTCAGCTTAAACGTTACTTGCGAATTGAGTTTTCTTTGTTTAGAATTTATTTCATTGTGTCCGATATTTGAACGAGACTTTTAATTAGCTTAATGTAAATTTATCGAATAAAGGTTATGTCGTGAAAGTCGATAAACACTTTTCTTATGCAAAATTTTAAACTATGATAATAAAGCGAGATATTGCAAAGATCGATATCTGTTAAGGAAAAGTAATATAATCACACTTTGTTATTTTATATTACCTTGCGTTAATAATTGAGTATCGTATCTCATTGTCCGATTAATAAATATACAAATATACAAAGCGTAATAATTATTTCTACGATTTTATAACCCATAAAGTTTAGCAATAAAATATGTACTTAATGAATAAAATGATTAAATTCACTTAGTCCTAATATTGCGCGTGAGGAAATTTTAACGTATATTTTAATATTTTTAATAAATGAATAAATATGTGTGCGTGCGTGTGCGTGCGTGTGCGTGCGCGTGCGTGTGCGTGTTGTGACAATTAAAATTAAAACAGAAAATGAATCTTCAATTGAACGGAGTATGTTAAACTAACTTCCCTTAAATGTTTTTGCAATTGCGTCTTAGCCCATAATTATAACAAATAATTAATAAATATCAATTCCTCCTGACATTTATCTTTCTTATAAATGCCGAAAATACTACTACTACACACATTAGGCTATTTAATAATGAGTATTATTTTTATCAGTCTACGTTATTAAAATTATACGTTATCATTAATCGTAAAAATATAGGATAATAATATGTGAAATTTATGAAATGAATAGTTTGAACTTCCAATATTCTGTTACATTTCCAATTATAATATTATTATAATTTTGTCTGAGGTTGTTGGGAAGAGATAAATGGATGGAAAAACTTGCATACGAGTAAGAGTTGCAAATTCTATTAGGTTTTATTATACATCTCGACTAATATGATAATATTTAATAATATGTATATAATTATAAATAGGCAAAAGAATTGAAATAAATTTGATTTATTTTCTTTTATTTTTATATTTTATTTTCTTTTTTTTCTTTTTTCTTTTTTTTTTTTTTTTTGCACCATTATTGTACTTTTGCCATAGTACATTTATCCTTTAAGTATTAAAAAAAAAAAAAGTTTACAAAATTATTAAGACTTGTAATTTTTAAATCAATTATACAGCTGAAAACGATTAATCTATACTTTATATAGCGTATATTATTTGCCATATATGTATGTGTATATATATATATATATATATATGAAAGATCAATTACAAAGCTAAAGTTTAATGACTGCAAAACTTATATCTCTCACTATAACGGTAAATATTATGAAATATTTTATTATAATCATAGTACGGTAAAATTCTATTTCGAAATATATTTTTATTCTCAACAAAATACATAATAAATTAACAACTTTTACATAATGTGGTAATTACTATCTTGAGCAAATTTATTTCCATTTTCAGTTAAGGGCAAATTAAAATCTTTTCAAATTTAAATATTTTATAAATATAGAATGTTATAAAAATAAATAGGTCAGCTAATCCTTTACCGGTTAATTACTCGTTGTTAAATATCAAATTTGTGCCGCCAAATTAAAAGAGCAGCTAACAATGACTGCTAATTATTTCCATTGACAGCTGGACTTTAGATTTTTATGTTTAAGGTATTTTTAAAGGCCTTTAATGTTTTTTTTTATCTTAATTTTCTTTTTATAAATATATATTCTAATGGCAAAATGTGCAATTCACAAATATCATAAAAAATAATGAAAATCATTGAAATTAACGAATGAAAAAGGATGCAGCTCATTAGTCTATTTAAAGAACGTCTGAAATTTAAGTTAAATTAATTTAATCTACAGCCATCCTTTTTTCATGCACCAGAATCAGATTATCGATTATCTGAAACATTTGAAAATATATGTCACGATACGATATCCAACAATGACGTTTTATCAAAGTTTTATAGTCGTCAGGTACAATGCCATTTAATCCCTTCCCTAGACTTTCACTTCCTAATTTGCCGTAATACGATGGTGACAGAATCACGGAAAATATAAGAATTTAGTGTACTGGCCTCAATGTGCCAAACTCACCTCTCGTATTTCACTTGCATAGAATGCGCGGAACTGTCCTCCCAGTAATTTTGTGTCTCCATCATCTTGCCGCATAAAATAATCCTGTTGCGTAACTGCCAACGTATTCGGTCCCAGTATACAAGTGTATGTGCGAAGCGTCGTCGATCACCGTCTATCTCTCCCACTTGTTTGTAATTATTGCTTTAAAAATTTTGTTTTCTTCGAATACGTAAACCTTACACTTATCTTCTTGGCACTTTTTTTTTTCTTTTTTTTTTCGATCACTCTCACTAGATCAACGGTGAAATAAAGAACGTAGCACTGATGCTCGTAGCCACGATTTTATTCTAGAAGTGAAGAAAGAATTCATCGTCAGTTATGTTACACACAATTATGTATCTTGGCATAAATAATGAATGATAATAGGGCAAATGAATCATGTACGCGGTTAAAGTCAAATGTGCACGGTTGTTAATTCGTTCGGAGAGTGTGTCTTATTTCCCTCCTCGTCAAAATCTTGTCTCATTAGCTCGTGCTTCTTAAATCATCCGATTATTATGCAAGTACTTAAAAGTCATACGATTCTTTGCATAAACTATTTATAATTCTTATCGTGCAAAGTAAGTGTGCGATTGGCATAATGTTTTTTTTTTTTCATTTTCGTTTATTGCTAAAAAAATCCTTACTCTTTAGAATTCGGGGAAACGAAGGCATGTTGCTTCGAATGATATAGATAAACTAATTGATATGATTATCTGCTGGAATAGCATAATTAATTTGACATTTAAATTTGATAATCAATTATAAGCGCAACATATGCATAGTTTTAAATTGTAATTTCTACGAGAGCGTGCACTTATTAATTTTTTCTTTTTCTTTTTTTTCTTTTTTTTCTTTTTTATTTTGCATTCCTTTTGCAACCATATTTCATTAATACTTAACGAGATGGACTTGTCGTTTGATGAGTTGAACATCAGCTGTCATTATAAAACTTCTAAAACTTATGCAATAATATATATATATATATATGTGTGTGTGTGTGTGTGTGTGTATATTTATATATTTAAAATGCATAGTAAGATTAGAAAAATTTACACATACAAAGGTAGCAATATGATATTAATATGGAATGAAAAATGAATAATACGATCGTTAAACTATTCTATCAGTGTGTGAAAGTACGTTTATGGCAGGCGAAACGTTAAAGATCAATGATACAGCCAATATATTAAGGGAAGCAAATTGGAAATGCCAATCGGAAAGCAATAAAGCTATTGAGCCAAAATCGATATCTCAATTTTCAAATACTAATCTTACGCAATCGAGTCCCGGCATGCAAAATATTCTATTACAAGATACACGAGTACATTTACCATACATAGCCCGGGTCAAACTGATTACCGCCGCCCTTCCAATGACCGTCAATCCGACAGACGAACCTCTAACCTTAAAAAGGATTTCGCGCTCGCCTGTGATTGCTAAAAAAATCGAGGCGATGGTGGACGCAACGGCCGAGGTTTCAGGACCATCCGCGTACTGAAGATCGAGACGATATCCTAGTGGAAAAGCCGGTAAAGACAAAGTACGAGGAGAAAGTGAGGCGGACGTGTATGTCGGTTAGGTTAGGTTCGCTTAGCGACTCGCTGACGCATCGCAGATAGAAGGAGAAGGAGAAGAGAGGAGAATTCGCGCGTCACGCGCAGCCGGAGAAAGAAGGACGCGGCGACTTGGTCGTCTATGTCTTATCCTTCTCGCGCTGATTTTCAATCAAGCATTCGATCGCATTTCCTTGCTCGTTCGATGGGAGAAGAAAGATTCTTAAAAGACTTTGTTGAAAATTGATTGGCTCGGCTTGAAGATTCTTGAATCAACGACTTAAAGTAAAAATTATGTGTATTTGTATGTGTGTCGCATAAAAGCGTGTATTTCATATGTATTTAAACGTGTGTATTTGTTTAACTTGACCGGCATGATATTTCGCGATTTGAATAGTCAATACGCGATTTGAAGTACTTGGGCTTGCATAGATCAAACACTCTCCACGTGGTTAATTAATTTTATTAGGTTTTAATATAATGTTTACATTTGCTTATCGTAAATACCTCTTTACGCCTGTTTTTTTTTTTTTAATTTTTTTTTTTTTATTTTAATACTCAATATTGATACAACGATATTATCCAATATTAAAGGATAGAAAAGAACTTCAGTGAAACAATAGATATTAAATTTTATAATAAAATAAGAAAGGCATATATTAGGAGTATTTATAAATGCGAATTTATGAGAACGATATTCCCAAATAAAGCATTACGGTTTATAAAGTTTTGTTGCTTAAAGATATTTTTATATAATCGCACAGCAACTTTAATTATCAAGAAATTGAAATATTTCTAAACAATTGTTAAATATACTTGGTAAATGTCATTTATTTTTCTAAACACATGACATTGTACATAAAATTTATCTTATTCTGTCTGTATTTGGCTTCTATCTATTTCAGTATTTATTAAGATCGATGCGTCCGTACGTAAATAATAAAAAATAAATTCAAAGACGTACAACGAGCATATGTTTATCCGTTACTTTTGCTATTTATTTACTTTCATACCAACATTCTGAATTTAGATTTTACATTTATAAAAATCTTTATTCTATTTTGTAAAATTTTTTTTATTCTTTTTTTTTCTCTTTTTTTTTTATTTATTAAATAGCCGAAGGTAATATTACATATTTATAATAAAACTCTAAATAATACTATAAGTTATACTTGACGCGCACAAAGTTCTTTGCCGACGTATTATTTGAAAAAGTATTTAAAATACAAATTGGATAGGATAAATATATTATCCGACTGGCTTAAAAAGTATGAAAAATATGCTTGAAAATCAAGAAAACATGATTAAGGGTTACATTAGTAGATATTAGATCAGTAGAAAAGGATATGCTTTAGTCAGACGCCTGGCATATTAAATGTCTTGGCTATAATAGTGTTTAGCGTTCTAAAAATATTTAAACTATATATAGTACGTTGATGTCTTAAATGTTTAATGTCATTTTCGTGTAGTTTCGCTTAGTAATAAAGTATACGCGCAGGCGCTCCTTTACGTTCAAGTGCAATACTTCAATACAAACTCATTTTACTCTTTCTAAGGAAATACAATAAAAATGAATCTCGGTAAATTTCCACGGTAGCATTACAATTAATCGAAATACTTTTAAATCACGTTTGAATTAACGAGAGCTAACAAATTGAGATAAAACGTTTCATCGAAGATAATAAGAAGTTGGAGTGAACTGAACGCCTAGCGCCTTAGCGAAGAAAAAACATTTTTTCTAAAATTTAAATAAAAAAACGTCCAAGAATATTTGATTTTTTTCGTATATTTGCAATTATTAGGCTTGATTGAAAGGTATTGATAGAACGATTGATTTTTCACAAACTAAATATATATACACATGTCGACCCGAGTACCCCAATATCATTATTTATAAGAGTCGCGTATACTTGAAATCCGTCAAACCAAACGGAACATTAATAATGAATAATTTTATTTATCCGAGCCTCCTATCAACTATAAAACGGAATTACAAAATAAAATTATCTCTCAGATATTAATTATTTTTATTGGAAATAATTGGAAATAATTGATTATCGTTGTACAGCATCGCAAACATCAACTTTAAAATAGTTGCATTAATTAAATCTTCGTAATTCCTACGCTTAAAGCATTTCTTTAATATATTAACATTACAAAATGCGTTGACATTTAATTAAGCATAACCCCATTTATATTTACTTCGTATGATCGTTACCTTCCAATACAATTAATCGAATGGCTCGTAATCTTGACAATTACAAATTTAACATAATCACATTAAATAACATATCCAACAAGCACTTCATCACAGAACCAAACTTTATCACTGTGAAACAATCGCTAAACGACGCGAGGCTCGCTTATCAATGAAACTCAAGCAAGAAATTAACAATCTTCACGCTGCCGCACGTTTTCCTCCTTCTCATTCAGCGAGTCTCGAGTCCCGCGCGTCGCCGCCTTACTGTAAATAATTCAACGAGCCGGTGGATCGTCGGCCGATCGCACAAGAGCTTTCGAAAAATTCCAGCGGAAGTATCGCAGTGCGTCGTAAATGGCCAACGATCGCCTCGTCTATATTTAACAATGCGAAGACATTCGGGGTAATTGGAGCAGATAAGTTTAGAGGCGCGCGTGTTTGGACGCTAAATGGAACTAGATGCGGATGCGCCCGCCGCGCCACTTCCTGGCCCAAAGAGGAGGCACGAGAAAGGGGGATGGCGGAGGCGGAGGCGGAGGTGGAGACGGAGGTGGAGACGGAGGTGGAGACGGAGGTGGAGGCGGAGGTGGAGGCGGAGGTGGAGGACGACGACGACGACGACGACGACGACGACGACGACGACGACAATAATGACGAAAAGAAGGAGGAAGGCGACACCGTCGCGGTCGCCGCTGCCACCTCCACCTCTATCACCACGACCACCACCACCATCATCACCGTCACCACTACCACCACCACCATCACCACCACCACCACAACCACAACCACAACCACCACCACATCTAACACGACTACCACGTAGTGATAAAGACGCTGCCTTTGGTATCGTATCGTCAAGAACGAGGAACGAAAGACTTATGTGGGTGGAAGGGGTCCGGCAGGGTTATAATAATGAAGAAGAGAAGATAAGGCTATTGACTCTCGGGCGCGAAATTTCGCTCGTAAGAAAAAAGGTCGGGGCAGAAGAGAAGAAAACGTCGTCGCTCCCAGACGGCGCTTCCTCCTCTTCCTCCTCTTCCTCCTCTTCCTCCTCTTCCTCCTCCTCCTCCTCCTCCTCCTCCTCCTCCTCCTCCTCCTCCTCCTCCTCCTCCTCCTCCTCCTCCTCCTCCTCCTCCTCCTCCTCCTCCTCCTCCTCCTCCTCCTCCTCCTCCTCCTCCTCCTCCTCCTCCTCCTCCTCCTCCTCCTCCTCCTCCTCCTCCTCCTCCTCCTCCTCCTCCTCCTCCTCCTCCTCCTCCTCCTCCTCCTCCTCCTCCTCCTCCTCCTCCTCCTCCTCCTCCTCCTCCTCCTCCTCCTCCTCCTCCTCCTCCTCCTCCTCCTCCTCCTCCTCCTCCTCCTCCTCCTCCTCCTCCTCCTCCTCCTCCTCCTCCTCCTCCTCCTCCTCCTACAGCCACCACCACCACCACCGCCACCACGACAATCACCGCCGACGCCGCTGCCATCGCCGCCGTCGCTACAGCCGCCACCGCTACCGCCGCCACCGCCGCCACCGCCGCCACCGCCACCCCTCTCCACCTCAACCATCTCCTCCTCCTCCTCCACCTCCTCCTCGTCATCCTCATCATCAGCCTCCTCTCTGGCCTCACTCGTCGCTCTTAGGCTGGCAGCTCTTTCCATCCTGCCCTTCCCACCTCGTCAGTGTCGGAACGCCCGGGGCGCCCCTCCACCCGCCGGCCAGGTGCGGACGAGCAACACGCAAGACCCTCGTCGGGAGGAGGTCGGGAGGAGCTGCGCGAGAGCGATCACCTTTGATCTCGATGGCTATTTTTGCTAAAGACCAAACGAGCCGCGGCGATTGCCTTGCTAATCGGCTGCTACGAACAATGGGCAGCGTTAGAAATCCGTTACTCTCGCATCAACGGAAGTTCATGCACGATGAATTTTAGTAGGATAGGGAGGGGAGAATTTTTGGTCGCATGGGACTGATTAATTATCTGTGGTGATGGTGATGCTTTTGTCGAGCTTTGTTCTCTTATTTATCAAGACAAATAGCATGGGATTTCATTTAGTTTATGACCTATCCAATTCGCCATTAAGTAAGCAGAAAAAAAATTAATATTTAGTCTGTGCCGTCGTTGCCATCAACAAATTCATAAATATTTAATTTTATTACGGGATAACTTTATAATGATGAATCGTATCTAAATATTTATTCGGGTGTGTACCAATGTAATAGGGGATGAGAAATATGCGTTCTCAAACTTATCATAAATGAGCGAAATAAATAAATCGCGAAAACGAATGATTATATATGGCGTTAAATAAGCCTTGTTTCCTTACAACCGAAATTTTCACATTCTCCAGACAATTAGAACAATAATTAGTAATAGCTTTCAATGGTGGCTGATAACGTCAATATAAATACGTTTTATGATCCTTTGCATACGTGTAATTAATAATAAAGACAGATCTTTTTTTTTTTTGGAGAGATATACGTTAAAATTCAGAATATATAACCATCAATTCCTTCTACATCGATAATGAGATACAGTTTTTTTTTTTTAATATTATGTAACGCAACTTATTATGATCTAATAATCAAGTCTCATTAATTTAAGTAGTTATCGGAAATTTTTAGATAAAAATTTTACCTCTAAAGACAGCGTTAATTCTTGCTTATTATTAGTCGCGTGACATGGAGTTCCTCGGTAAATCATCATTGGTCTGATAACTACGTTAACTTCTCAAATTATCTGTCTTTATTCTTTTTTTTTTTTTTATTCTTTATATCCTCATACGATTCAAAAACTCTGATAAAAACTACGATAAAGCTAAGAAGAAGAAAAAAAGAAAGAAAAGAATAATCGAACCAAAACATTCAGTTGTACTTAATTCAGTGAGAATGGAGCTGTTAGTCTCCTTAAACAATTATCTTTAAATAACTGCATCTTATGAATCCAAGTAATTAATTCGTCGAAATAAAATAAGTGCTAAGTAATATAAATATTATACAACGTAATTTTACGATCGTGTAGTGATTCGAATGACATAACGTCGTAAAACAATTAATAAATTAGGTATTCGGCTACTAAACCTCAAACAACTAGCGAGCACGTAAATAACTTCATTGCCAAAATTGATCTAATAAAATAAAATGTTATTAATATATTAGACAAAATTCAATTCCATAATAACATATCGAAGTGGAAAGGCAAAGAAATATGAAGTACATAATTTCAATATACGAGACTTTAAAAATATTTTTACATCTTTAAAACGGTGTATGAATCAATGGAGGGCCATTTCAT